TGCCGCTGAAATGTCCCCAAAGAGGAACTGGAACAGCAGTTGAATTCTCCCAGTGCTATAACTCCCTTTTGTAGATACGAATCCTAAAATTGCCACCTTATCTCCATATATATTTATCTGTGCACAGATAGGTACCTCCTGTTGTTCTAATGGAAGCTGAGTTTCTTGGGTCTCTTGTTTTAAAACAGATCCAACCAGAATCCAAGCAGCATCATGTAGAACTTCACGTCCTCCTTGAAATACTCTGTACAAACCAGATTTCTCCCTTGGCTTTTAAATGAAAAGCAAAATGATAGTAGGCTTACCCCGTTGCCAGTGTTGTAGAAACCGCTGTCCTCAGGGCTGGAGGACCAGCTAAATGCCTCTACAGAGACAATGACAGTGGATGGCTCTTCGGCTCCACAGTTTCAAGGAGGGTGATGAGGGGAGAACAAGGAAGATGCCTCTATACCCAACTCTTTTTAAGCAAATAAGCTTGGATATTTATAAGGGCTTAAACTCCTCCCCCAGAGGAATAACTTTGGAGAAGTTGCTCATCCCCCCTGCTAAGGTGCTGTCTTATATTTTTCCAGCATAAGCTAATAACTAACTTTACCAAGCTGCAGTATATAACTTTAGATTTCACCAGCCATTGAGGCTAAGTAGGGAAACGTTCTGGTTTCCAAAAAGATCCGGGCTGCTTCCTTCAAGTTGTATAGTTCAGGGCAGGGTGAGAAACTGGGGGCAGAGTGCAGCAGAAAATTTTGGTTTTCCTTGGGCGGCAAATCTTTCTCAACCTTGATCCCATGGAATAAAAATGTAATTTAAAATACAATAATTCTACGAGATGAAAAGTACTGCTTAAGCATAGCATGCCTTCTTTCTGATGATACACAGGGGGCAAATAATTAGGAAGTAATTGTAAAACAAGAGAAGCTGTTAGGATTTTAGAAACAGGCACATTTCTTTTGCTGTTCTTGTAATCAGGTCTTTAACTATTTATATTTATTTATATTTATTTATTTATATTTATATTTGAATGTATTTTTTTTAAAAAAAATTGTAGTCTTATCCATATAACGATAAATTTTCACTTGGCTATTATCTTTATATCTGCTTCCAGAAAAGGAGGATCCAGACAGAGTCCTGCCTTATAGCCCAGGCAGAGTTTTTTTTGGGGGGGGATTTGGGTTTGGGGGCTCTTGGGCAAAAAAGTCATTTGGGGGGTCCCTTAAATGTATGGAAGCACATATACCGTAATTTCACTTAATTCTGTACGTAAAGCTGCAATGAATGTGTGAATAAATGCATCATTGCGGTCAGTGTTTATTACAACTGGAGCGGAGAATATTACTTAATACACATTATCACCACCACACTGTAAATACATGAATACAGATCACAGCAGAAGGGGAAAAAGGCATTGTCTTCATATCAGTGGCGTAGCGTGGGGGGTGCAGGGGGGGCCGGCCGCACCGGGCGCAACATCTGGGGTTAGGGCAAATCCACAGGTTAGGGGGCGCAAATCCACGGGTTAGGGGGCGCAAATCCACGGGTTAGGGGGCACAAATTACTTGCCTTGCCCCGGGTGCTGACAACAGACGCTACGCCACTGCTTCATATGTGATGCTCTTATGGAAACAGAAACAGAAAAGAAGAAACCCTTCTTAAAAAGCATATTGTATGACTTATGGTAAATTGGTGACAGTCAGTTTACTGATAAATAACAGTATAGACAAGAGTCCATCCTATTCAATGAAATGAACTTCCTTCTTGGAAGTAAAGTCCTCAGCCAAGTCACTGTAATCCAGACTTCTCCCAATTTTATGTTCAATTGAAGTCGGTGCTAGTGCTGTCTTTGATATTTACAAGAGCATCAAAGATTTTAAATACCGTATTCTTTCCGTATACAAGACAATGAATTCCCCCCAATTTTTAAGGCAAAGATTGGAGGTTGTCTTATACAGTGGTACCTCGCAAGACGAATGCCTCGCAAGACGGAAAACTCGCAAGACGAAACGTTTTTCGGTTTTTTGAGTTGCTTCGCAAGACGATTTTCCCTATGGGCTTGCTTCGCAAGACGGAAACGTCTTGCAAGTTCGTTTCCTTTTTCTTAAAACCGTTAATACAGTTGCGACTTGACTTCGAGGAGCAACTCATAGCACACGGTGTGGTAGCCTTTTTTGAGGTTTTTGAAGACTTTGGTGATTTTTGAAGCTTTTCCAAAACTTTTCCGAAACCGTGCTGCGCAAGACGAAAAAATCGCAAGACGAAAAAACTCGTGGAACGAATTAATTTCGTCTTGCGAGGCACCACTGTACACAGATTTATATGGTAAGTATTGGGTGAGTTGGCAAGGCACTCAGGGCCGGGAAATGGCTGGCGAGGCAAGGCTGTGCTGAGACGTGGAGGACCGATCAGGGGATCGCCCCCATAAAGCTCCACAACAATAACGATTTCTAAATTTTGGGCTCCCAAAAGTAGGGGTCATCTTATACATGGGGCCGTGTTATACACAGAGAAATATGGTATCTCTGCAGCTGGCTGTCAACTTTCACAAGGCTGTTATCCTCCCCTATAAATAATAATGTTAAAAAAGCACAATTCTATAAAAAGCCATTTTATTACCCTTCGTGTCTGTTTTCTAGTGTTCAGTTTGCCCTTGTAATGGATTAAAGGTTAGGAAATTGAATGTTGTTCCTTTGTTTTGTTTAACTAAAGATGTTCCCTGCTGGTTAATGTTCAGCAAGTCCATATATCACCACTTTCTTCCAGACAACAGGGCAGTTCCAACATTATCTCCTTGCAGTTCAGTTCTGCAGAAAGCAACAGTGTGAGTGATGTTGCAACATTTCCAATACAGTGGTACTTCGGGTTACAGACGCTTCAGGTTACAGACGCGTCAGGTTACAGATTTTGCTAACCCAGAAATAGTACCTCAGGTTAAGAACTTTGCTTCAGGATGAGAACAGAAATCGCAGTGTGGCAGCAGCGGGAGGCCCCATTAGCTAAAGTGGTGCTTCAGGTTAAGAACAGTTTCAGGTTAAGAACGGACCTCTGGAACGAATTAAGTTCTTAACCCGAGGTACCACTCTACAGTGGACACGTGGGTTGCGAACGTGATCCGTGCGGGATGCACGTTCGCAGCCCGCAGCGGCGAGTCTGCACATGCACAACCCCCAGAACCCAGAAGTAACCCGTTCCGGTACTTCCGGGTTTCGGCGGGTCCATAACCCGAAAAAATGCAACCTGAAGTGTCTGTAACCCGAGGTATGACTGTACGTAGTTGATTTACAGTAGACATTTACAGTCTGCTATGCTAGAATTTCCTAAGAAGTGGCACCGTGTAAGACTGGCCATTGATACAGTTGGCTAGGAATTAAAGTTTATGTGCAAGTCCTCATGAGTTCTCCGTGAATTGCAGAGAACAGGTCTGGCAATTGTTCCTTTGGGAGCGTTTGTGTGTCTGTAAGAGGCACAAATCAAGTGTATCAGAAGATAAGGTAGCAGTGTCACATGTGTGTTTTAGTGTTGCGATTCCAAGAAATCCCAGTTTTGGCTGGTCGGTGACTCATACACGTAGCTATACCAAGCAAATTGGATTACATGATGACTCAGCGCTTACTCGGCAAGTTTAAGGTTTGCACCCATGCCTGGGAACTAGTTTGGAAAAGAGAGAGTATCTGCCCCCTTCGTGAGTCATGAAAGTAGCTTTCACCCACGGAAGCTCATGGAAAAGAAGATGATAAACTTATCACCACCTCTACAGTGCTGAGCTAATTTCCATTCTTTACTGTTTATTTTCCTTGGGCAACTGATTCACAACTTCTTAATGAATCAACCCACCCATTCATACAGTCTTAAGAGAGACACTTGCCAGTACTGCAGACAGGACCATATATACTGCGTCAAGGCTGGAAAGCAAACTCCTACACAAAAGAAACACAAATCGCTACTGTTCTCTGCTTCCGCTGAAGCCCTTTCCCTGATTACAGGAAACTGCTCATGCTCCTTGTTTCCCCCCAACTACTGAGCATTTGATATTTTACCAAGCATTTCCCACATACTCTTTAAGTCTTCGCTGCCTTTCTTTCCCTTTTATTAAAGGTAAAGGGACCCCTGACCATTAGGTCCAGTTGTGACCGACTCTGGGGTTGTGGCGCTCATCTCGCTCTATAGGCCGAGGGAGCCGGCGTTTGTCCGCAGACAGCTTCCGGGTCATGTGGCCAGCATGACTAAGCTGCTTCTGGTGAACCAGAGCAGCGCACAGAAACGCCGTTTACCTTCCCGCCGGAGCGGTACCTATTTATCTACTTGCACTTTGACGTCCTTTCAAACTGCTAGGTTGGCAGGAGCTGGGACCGAACAACAGGAGCTCACCCCGTCTCGGGAATTTGAACCGCCGACCTTCTGATCGGCAAGTCCTAGGCTCTAGTTTAACCCACAGCGCCACCCGCGTTCCATTCCCTTTTATTACTTTACAGTGGTGCCTCGCAAGACGAAATTAATTCGTTCCGCGAGTTTTTTCGTCTTGCGATTTTTTTCGTCTTGCAAAGCACGGTTTTGGAAAAGTTTTGGAAAAGCTTCAAAAATCACCAAAGTCTTCAAAAACCTCCAAAAAGGCTACCACACTGCGTGCTATGAGTTGCTCCTCGAAGTCAAGTCGCAACTGTATTAACGGTTTTAAGAAAAAGGAAACAAACTTGCAAGACGTTTCCGTCTTGCGAAGCAAGCTCATAGGGGAAATCGTCTTGCGAAGCAACTCAAAAAACCAAAAACCCTTTCGTCTTGCGATTTTTCCGTCTTGCGAGGCATTCGTCTTGCGAGGTACCACTGTATTTTATTTCAATATTCAAAGTTACACCATGCCACTCAGCGGTTATAATCCTATTCTACAATACTAATGACTCACCCACACTCAACGTTTATAATCACAGTTGTATTTTAAGAATTCCATCTTACCCGGTTTCATTCTTTTTAACAGATTTCTTACTATGTTCTGCTATTTTTCTTCTTCTTAGACTTCAAGCCCTGCTGTGAACTTAGCCTATGGAAAGTTACCAGAAGGGTTTTCCAGTCCTTGAAAGAGTCTAAACTTCTGTCTCTTATCAGTGCCGTCAGTTTTGCCATCTCTGCGTCTTCCAAGATTTCCATCAGGCGGTCTTCCTTTGAAGGTAATGCCGTAAGCATACTTCTCTTAACACAGCAGTATTCTAATCCTGGTTATTTTTTTATTTTTTTAATTGGGTTTTATAAACAAGAATAAAAGGTAAAAGGTAAAGGTACCCCTGCCCGTACGGGCCAGTCTTGACAGACTCTGGGGTTGTGCGCCCATCTCACTCAAGAGGCCGGGGGCCAGCGCTGTCCGAAGACACTTCCGGGTCACGTGGCCAGCGTGACAAAGCTGCATCTGGCGAGCCAGCGCAGCACACGGAAACGCCGTTTACCTTCCCGCTAGTAAGCGGTCCCTATTTCTCTACTTGCACCCGGGGGTGCTTTCGAACTGCTAGGTTGGCAGGCGCTGGGACCGAGCAACGGGAGCGCACCCCGCCGCGGGGATTCGAACCGCCGACCTTTCGATCGGCAAGCCCTAGGCGCTGAGGCTTTTACCCACAGCGCCACCCGCGTCCCTTATAAACAAGAATAATGTTGTACAAATAAGTATACCAAGTCTAATCCAGCTCTCACTTCCATACACCACTACTGGGAACACCACAGTTTTAACTATACGGACATTTGTTGGCAAGGTGATGTCTCTGCTTCTTTTTAAGATGCTGTCTAGGGCAGCAATGATTGGAATACAACTGTAGGCCGGACACTGGATTTTTTTCCAACTAGAATTTGTAAATTGGTAAGACGCAGCGTGTTTTTGTTTTGTTTTTTAAGCCAAAGATGTGAAGGAAGAGAAGAAGAAGAAGAAGAAGAGAAAGGATTGGTGAAAAGGGGGTCAAGCTGTTCAGTTGACAGCAGAATGTACTCCCTTGGAAGGTTGTGGTCTCTCCTTCATTAGAAGTATTTAAGCAAAGCTTGGGTGGCCATCTGTCATGGATGCTTTAGCCGAGATTCCTGCATTGCAGGGAGTTGGACTAGATTGGTCCCTTCCAGCTCTACAGTTCAATGATTCCTGGACAGGATGGGAGGAGAGGAAGACTTTTAAAGCATGGGTAGGCAAACTAAGGCCCGGGGGCCGGATCCGGCCCAATCGCCTTTAAATCTGGTCCGGGAATCAGCGTGCTTTTACATGAGTAGAATGTGTCCTTTTATTTAAAATGCATCTCTGGGTTATTTGTGGGGCATAGGAATTCGTTCTTCTTTTTTTCAAAATATAGTCCAGCCCCCCACAAAGTCTGAGGGACAGTGGTCTGGCCCCCTGCTGAAAAAGTTTGCAGACCCCTGCTTTACAGTAATCATTTCTGACGCAGATAGGGCTCTCAGGCTACCTGTTCCAAGGTGCTTCCAAAGACGTCACAACCTTTGTTTTAGCTTTCTCAAACATTAAACCAGAAGTTCAGGCCAGGCGTCTCTCTTGCCCTTTAAAATTGGTAGAGCACAGTGTCCCCTTCAAAAAGAGAGAGAAGTGTTTGCTGTTTGGCAAGCCACATGACAAATGCTTGCTTTCTAAGAGTAAACAGAGCCCTTTGCCAGAAGTTCAGACTGACTTAGGCTCATCAGTCAAAGAGAAGAGAGCCTGCCAAGCAATCTGTTTTGGGGGCCTTTTGATAACGCTGAGGATGTGTCAGAAGGAAAATGAACTGATATTACTTTATATGTGTGTGTGTGTGTGTGTGAGCACACACACGCGTGTAACTTGGTATTAATGTAACATTTTTATATGCAACCTGTGTATTTTTGTAATATTTTGTTTGTCTATTGTTGCTTCAGTTTTCCGTACACTGCTTGGAGATATGTTTAATATATTAACCATTATAAAACTGAATAACCAGTTATTGTGTTTTACTATAATATTGAATGACAGGAGGAAACTCATGTACAGATGAGTTCTTTCTGTCTTTCATTTAACCACAGTTGTTATCTCCAATTGTTACACACACACATTCATTCATTAAGTTTGGCCTTTGACAGTGAACTTGACTCTGGGAGGTTTGAGAACAGTCTGCCTCTGAATTCTTGGCTTGCAGCGGGTGCTTCTTGGGTTTTCTTCCTTTCCCCCTCTTGCTATCGCAGGGCTTTGTTTTGTTTTGTTTATTCAAGTATTTACTCATGCCCCTCATTTAACTAGGTCACTCTTTTTCTGCCCCCCACCCCTTGGTCGCATGGAATGACCTACCAATTTTGTATCTTCAGCTGCACATTCTTTCCCCAAGGTCATTGATACACAACTGGAAACATCTGTCATAATACTGGTCTTAGCAGGACTCAACCAGCCCATTCCACCCACCTCTAGTGACTGCTTATACTGACAGCGTCTCGTACTCCTTGCTATTCAAGCTGGTTCTTTCTACTTTTCAAGTGCCCTCCCCTGATAACATTCATTCTGCCATTTCAGATTAGGCTGGTGCTGATGACTGCGAACAACTAGCTTTCAGCCCTGGGAAGTGAGTCAGTTTTGTCCAGTTTCTCTAGCGATCAGAAGGTTGGCATCTTGTAAATTTCAGCTCTGACTTTGTAGTCACCAGCTTTTTCATGCCCTGTGTATGCTCATTTAGTTATAAAACTGGCTCATCTGCTGGTCCCAATATAATTTCCCACAATGCAGGGGGTTGGGCTGGATGACCTTTGGGGACCCTTCCAGCTCTACAATTCTATGATTCTTTGATTCTATGATTGCATCCCAGGGATACAATTTACTGTTCCATGGTTTTGATAGGATGGCAGAACCCTTTGTGACAAAAGCCAAAATGGCCAGGGGTACAAGTAACATACTTCTTGGCGCAGGTAGGTAGCTGTGTTGGTCTGCCATAGTTGAAACAAACAAACAAAAAAATTCCTTCCAGTAGCACCTTAGAGACCAACTAAGTTTGTTATTGGTATGAGCTTTTGTGTGCATGCACACTTCATGTACACGAAAGCTCATACCAATAACAAACTTAGTTGGTCTCTAAGGTGCTACTGGAAGGAATTTTTGTTTTGTTTTGTTTATACTTCTTGGCGGTTCTAACTGTGGGTACTATTTTTGATCTGTGTTATAAGAAAAACTGCTCCCTTTCCCTTATGGGGTATTCCAGAGCCCGTATAGAGTCCTATCGGTAGGAGAAAATAACAGAGGCCAACAGAGGCATCTCTGGATGCGAACGGGCTCCGTTCTGGAGCCCTGTTCACATCCTGAAGCAAACGCAACCCGCGTCTGCGTGGGTCGTGATTTGCCGCTTCCACGCATGTGTGTGACGTCATTTTGAGCATCTGCGCGAGCGGTGAAACCCGGAAGTAACGCGCTCCGTTACTTCCAGGTCGCTGCGGAGCGTAACCTGAAAATGCTCAACCTGAAGCACATTTAACCCGAGGTATGACTGTAAATTGAGAAGCAAAGTGGCTAGTAAGCCTGATCTTTATTAAAGGAACTGTTGAAAGAGGGTCCCCACTCACCACACTCAGGAGGGAGAACCCTAAACGATGGTGTGCAAGCCCTTTTATAGATTTTTGAAATTGCCCACCCTGTAGCCCAAGGCCACCATCTCAAAACATACATACATACATACATACATACATACATACATACATCACAAAAGAAAGCAGTCTACAGCAGAAAACCTGCCTGCCCGGATACCTGAAAATGGTCACTGATTGCATTACCTGGGCAGTCTGGCCATTTTTTTGTGATGGTTAATACTTTAGTTCCTGAATCCAGGTCACAGGCTCACCCTATTCATACACAAATACGCCCTTAAGACAGGATTTGCAAGCAAAAAGACAATGGGAAGGCTTTCCCTGTTTGCCTCCCTTACTGCAGAAGAATATTTGAGTTCATTGGGAGAGTCAAAATGGCTTCAGGATTGCTCTCACATACTATTTCAGACGCATGGTTCATATATTTAGATATTTGTGCATTTATGAATATTTATTCTACACTTGAGACCTTAAAATTCTTAAAACAATCTGCAAGTTCTTTTTCAGCCCATACTGCACAGAAGCTGCATTCAGATGCTTGGTTTATTGAACGAGTTTTACAGGTTACAATCCAAGCACTTCTGTCCCGATTTCTAACACTCTTTTTTTCACTGCAGTGCACACACACACAAACACATATATACATATACATATACATATACATATACATATACATATACATATACATATACATATGAAACAGACATTACAACAAAAAAGGCACAGAGGAGAAAAAGAAAGACTGTCCATATCCAAACAATATTCCCAGTTTCACAATACATTTATGTGACAATCGAAAGCTGAACATCATTTGCTGAGCTATGACAGGACAAGAGAAAAGAAGATCATAACCAAAAAATATTTCCTTTCAGGTCATTCATAATTTTTGTTCAAGTTAGCAAAATTAGAAGAAAGTAGCCCGAACAATGCACACCAGCATAGAATTATCATGAGTTACAAAGTCTTACATGGTGGGAAGGAGAGGATAGGTTAGGTTTTTGTTTATTAACACATATAGTAAAATCATAATGCTCCCCGATAAAGTAATCTTTTTCGAATGCGCTTGTGTGCCTTTTATTTTGTAGTTGACCTTCTCTGCAAAGGCCAGCTGCCATACCTTATGGCACCAGTAATATACAGCAGCTCACTTCAGAGCCTGCCCAAATCGAGCGATGGTTAAGTTGGGATCCCATAAGCAAGCAGGGGCAAGCTACTCTTTGCAGCGAAGACCCTCGATATGTCCTTGTACGTTTAATACTCTTAAATCCTTGCGCTTGCCTGCCTTCTGTGCTTGTCTGCACAGAGAACCCTGACTCCTTTATGACCTGTCCTTTGCATGTCCTATCTTGATCATATTGCAGATCTAGACAAAATTGCTTTTCTGGTAACCTTCAAAACCTAGTAAGTATAATTGAGAGTTCAGGCATGAATGTGTTTTTACAGTAAGGATTTCTACGTGTGGGTGGCAAATTAGGATTTTGTTTTTGTATCTTTTTCCCTTCTACAGCAACACCCACCCATATAGGTGGGGGTTACCTTCCGAGGCACTGTGTGGATAGGTGAAATTGTGTTTAATTGAGGCACCCGTTGAAAAACCCTGCAGACTAAAACCTCTGGGAACCCCAGAAAAAAAGACCCTTTTACAAACCAGCAGCCCTACCGGACGGGTAGGAATGGTGGCAATGGAGGCACTCAGTCTTCCTCATTGCTGAAGCACAATTTGCAAACAATGACAAGCAGGGTGGACCGGTACCCCCAAAGTGCTTGGCTGTGGGTGAGACTCACTTGGTGGAGCTAATGGTGTCTTGGGGAAGAACATGATGATGGGCAGCTGGGGCTTCTGTCTCTTCAGATGGTCAAGACATTTTTGGGCAGCCTCATGGTCCATGGACACAGCTTCAACACAGGTGCCAATGTTCTTCAAATCGAAGCATTGTTTGAAGTGGGTCAGCAAGCCAGAACTAGCTCAGAACTCCTTCTCAGGCTGCCTGAAGTACACATACAGTATGAGATTCTTCTTGCGCAAGGTGCTGCCATCAATGGGGATATGCTGGCGGTTCATGTCTTCTAGCCATTGGTTCAGTGCCTCACGAGCCTTCAACAGGGCCTCATCCTGCACGTGGCTGGGGACCTTGGCAGTTGTGGGTGTACAGGCACTTGCTGCCTCCAATGCCCGGATTTTCTTCTCTTGTACCTTAACGGCACGTATTCTGGACTCATTCCTGTCAGAATAATAATAATAATAATAATAATAATAATAATAATAATAATAATAATTTTTATTTACACCCCGCCCTCCCCAGCCAAGACCGGGCTCAGGGCGGCTAACAACCAATAATAAAAAGAAGTTTATTAAAATACAATTTAAAAAAGATTAAAATACAACATTAAAACATTAGGATGTAGCCTCTTCACCGGAGGAGAAAGGAAAAAGAAAGAGGGGGAGGGAATCAAACTGATTCTAAGCCAAAGGCCAGTTGGAACAACTCTGTCTTACAGGCCCTGCGGAAAGAAATCAGATCCCGCAGGACCCTGGTCTCATGAGACAGAGCGTTCCACCAGGCCGGAGCCAGTGTTGAGAAGGTCCTGGCTCTGGTTGAGGCTAATCTAACTTCCTTAGGGCCCAGGACCTCTAGGGTGTTGCTATATATGGACCTTAAGGTCCTCCGTGGGGCATACCAGAAGAGGCGGTCCTGTAGGTACGAGGATACGCCGGGGGGGGCATGCAGCCCCCGAGATGAGACGAAACCTCTCTGGGCGTCTTCCTGGTGTTGCACAGCTCCGGGACATCCATAAATCAATAGTCCCAGGATGCTCCAGTGACACATAGCAGATGCCTATGTGCACGCACACTCAACAGAGATCAGCAGAAACGAATTGGAGAATTGTGTGCTCATTCTAAGCTTTTATTCAGCAATATTTACAGGACAAACGATCATAGCGTCCTCTACCTTCAGCTCCGAGAGAGAACAGAAAGTAAAAAGTACAACAACACAACAGAGCGGAAGAGATAAGGCTAGCTTCTGTTCTCGGGCTTTTCCAAGCCTAGAAAGTAAACATGGACGTGTGATGTAACCATCACACACCCAGCAATGGAGGACTGATATACAGTGGTACCTCAGGTTACATACGCTTCAGGTTACATACGCTTCATGTTACAGACTCTGCTAACCCAGAAATAGTACCTCAGGTTAAGAACTTTGCTTCAGGATGAGAACAGAAATCGTGCTCCAGCGGTGTGGCGGCATCAGGGAGGCCCCATTGGCTAAAGTGGTGCTTCAGGTTAAGAACAGTTTCAGGTTAAGAACAGACCTCCGGAACGAATTAATTACTTAACCCGAGGTACCACTGTACTAACAATTCCTGCCAAACTTGTGTGCCACAGCACACATGCTCAAGCCATCCTGTCAGCAGTGTAGCGCTTCCAATTCCTCCTCCAGCGTGGGTACCACTCTTGGGTTTGTCATCACCTGAGGAAGGTGACGAGGCTGTGCATTTAGGTGCCATCTCAAAGAACGACTCAAAAATTGCCTCCAAAACCTCCAAACTCCAGCACAATTCCTCTCTCTCAACCTCTTCCTTCAAACTCCAACTCTCCACAGGCCTCAATGGTTGGTGCAAGGCCTCTTGGGATTGCAATTGTGAAGGCCTGTGGGATTGCAAGGTTCTGTTTTTTGCACCTTTTCTGACAGCTTCACGCCTCTTCTGGGGCTGTTTTAGCGATTCTTAATTCACTTCCAGGTTCGGCACAATGCACATATACACACAGTTGCCTACATACTGAATGCATAAATGGGGGGTGTCTGTATATTGGAAATTAATAAAACTATATTTTTATTTTTAAAAGATCTATGCATGGTGGTGGTTAGGAAGAACAGATGCTACTCTTCTTGTGTTTTTGTTTCTGTGTGCAAGCATACTGTTGTCTTCTTTTAACCTTGCCTTACATATGTGTGAAAACACTCATAAAATTAACTCAGCTGTGTATTTGAAAATGGCAGTTCCGATTTCTGCCAAAGCAAAAATGTGTCCTCCACCCCCCACCCCCGCTCCAATGAAAATTTTGTTTTTGTTTATTTTTGTCTTCTGGTACAGGCAAACTAGGTATGTCAGAAGTTCTCCCTTCTCCAGATCAAATTCAGAAGTCATCTAATGCGGGTTGAGATACACAGAAGAAGAAAAACAGACATCAATTTAAGATGCCAAGGTGAGAATTTTGTGGATTTAAAGCAGGCATAGGCAAACTCGGCCCTCCAGATGTTTTGGGACTACAACTCCCATCATCCCTAGCTAACAGGACCAGTGGGCAGGGATGATGGGAATTGTAGTCTCAAAACATCTGGAGGGCCGAGTTTGCCTATGCCTGATTTAAAGGGATATTACTGGAGGTTTGGAGTGGCGGAAAGAATAACCATCAGGGTATTTATATTAAACCAGAAGTACCTGGGCTGAAGGACCCCATCGTGCCAGCATCTCTCTGAGATGAGTAGATCACCTAGCTCTCGGTTGACCAAAGACCAACTGAGAAGCCCTAGCGTCTCCCACTCCCCCTTTCAGAATTGACGACTGATATAGCAAGCTGGGCTCCTTTTAAACAAGGAGGCTTAGCTCATGGAAAGCCGAGCTAGCTACTCAGATGGAGATGCAACTTCTGGTTAAGGCTCAGTGTGAGGATGATTATGCCTGAAGCAAAATTTGAGATCCTTGGTTCTGAATGGGGTAACTGTGCCCCTGAAGGACCAGGTGCACAGCCTGGGAGTCATTTTGGACTCTCAGCTGTCCATGGAGGCGCAGGTCAATTCTGCGTCCAGGGCAGCTGTTTACCAGCTCCATCTGGTACCTGCCCGCAGAGTGTCTCGCCAGAGTGGTGCATGCTCTGGTTATCTCTTGCTTGGACTACTGCAATGCGCTCTATGTGGGGCTGCCTTTGAAGGTGACTACAACTAATCCAGAATGTGGCAGCTAGACTGGTGACTGGGAGCGGCCGCTGAGACCACATAGCACCAGTCTTGAAAGACCTACACCTGCTCCCAGTACGTTTCCAAGCACAATTCAAAGTGTTGGTGCTGACCTTTAAAGCCCTAAACGGCCTCAGTCCAGTATACCTGAAGGAGCGTCTCCACCCTCCATCGTTCTATCCGGACACTGAGGTCCAGCGCCGAAGGCCTTCTGGCGGTTCCCTCACTGCGAGAAGCCAAGTTACAGGAAGCCAGGCAGAGGGCCATATCGGTAGTGGCGCCTGCCCTGTGGAACGCCCTCCCATCAGATGTCAAAGAGATAAACAACTACCAGACTTTTAGAAGACATCTGAAGGCGGCCCTGTTTAGGGAAGCTTTTAATGTTTGATGCATTGCTGTATTTTAATATTTTGTTGGAAGGTGCCCAGAGTGGCTGGGGAAGCTCAGCCCGATGGGTGGGATATAAATAAGTTGTTGTTGTTGTTGTTGTTGTTGTTTGCTCTTATTGTGCCTCCAGCCTGAGCTCTGCATGGAGCTGTCAAGAGTGCCAATGATGCCCCCTCGCCTCACCCAAACCTGAACCCTCATCTACTGAGACTATTGGGAGGGAATAAAGTAGGTGAATAATGTTTTGGCAGCTGGGTCTGATCTAGAGACAGTTGTACTTCAGTTGTGGGGATTCTAGGGACCTTCACAGTGCTATCCGGAACACTTGCTTCTGAACATGCCCCTTGAACACAGTGAGACTTTTCTTCAAGGAAGCATTCATAGAAAGAGTGAACTTGTTAGTTGTGTGACCAACCTACCCGTTGATTTTAATATGGCTTAAGTACTTTATTTTTCCATGTATAAGACGCCCCCATATATAAGGCAACCCCTATTTTTGAGCCCAAAATTAAGAAATAAATATTTTAAACATTCCATGTATAAGACGACTCCCAATTTTAAACTTTAAAAAACTAGGGGAAAGTATAGTCTTATACACGGAAAAATACAGCATGTCTTAACTTTTTTCTGGGGTTGGACTTCAGTGTCCAAAGAGTACTCATACTTCTTTCTACCTTGCAAAGACGGTTGAAGCAGGCTTGCTGTAGAATTGTCTGAAAACTGGAGTCTGTTAATGAATTTGGGATTCTGCTTCCCATAGATGTGGGGCTGGATTTTCCTGGAAGCTTTAGCAAAATTCTAGTGGGTTCCAGCAACTTCCCCTCCATGTTGTCAGAGGTTTCCACCGCCATCAAGTCAGGCCATCACCTAGAGCCTTGGTATACGCCGAGGCCCACTCCATATAAATATTATGTGTGCTGCTATTGCCTCTGGGTTTTCCTCCCTCTCATCTTTATTTATAATTTCCTCTTTTGCAGATGGTGCATATGTTTCTGATGATGTGAAATTCTTACATTGCCTGTGAAGAAAGCACGAAAGGAGTTATAAGAGCCTATTTTTAGCTAACTTGCTAGCATCCATGAGATGTTTCCTAGTGGAACATTTCTGATACGATGGAGATTCTGCTTCTGAAGGGACTATTCATGGTGCTGGCCAGCTGCTTCATAGGGCTCTTCTACTATCAACACCCACTAGTCTCTGTGAGCGGGGAAAGATCAGGCTACAAAAAACCCAATTTCATAATAATTTTAGCAGATGATATTGGATGGGGAGATCTTGGGGCCAACTGGAACCTGAGAAAAGACACGCCTCACTTGGATAAGGTAGCGACGGAAGGCATGAGGTAAGGTTCAAACCAACGCTTAGTGTCCACTATTGTTGCTGTTCGTAAAAAGGGTGGAAGCTACCCTAGGCACTGCACAAAGATTAAAAAGTCATGCAGACCCTATCCTCAGACCTGCACGTTTAAAAATGTGATGGAAAAGGGGTGGTGAGGGAAGAGGACAACAAGCCAATTCAGATATCAACACAATCAAATTGCCATATTTTTCGTGTATAAGATGCCACCATGTATAAGACAACCCCTATTTTTTTTAACCCAAAATTAAGAAATCCTGCCAGAACCCAAACCCGAGCCTGGGCTGCCCATGCCAGAGCTTGAACCCAAGCCCAGGCTACTCGCACCAGAACCCAAGCCTGCGCCGCCCACACCAGAGCCCCAACCCCTGTGCATTCACCATCTGTGTATAAGACAACCCCTGATTTTTGACCTTATTTTTTTTTTGCAAAAAACATCGTGGAAATATACGGTACTTAAAGTAGAACGGAGCAACCAGTTTTGGTGGGACAGGCTGTGCTATTCACTATTAACATTTCTGTTTATTTCCGTGAGGCCAGCCAGCATAATCACTATCATTTTCCAGTCCATCTGTACGATGGATGACTTTCAACATTGTATTAGCTTCCCCAGCCCCCCAGAACCCTCGGTTATCAACGCTGTTGTCTATGTAAACTTGCAGTCTATATGGCATCGTGGTTTGAGTGTCAGACTAGGATTTGGGAGACCTGAGTTCAAATCCCCACTCAGCCATGAAGCTCAGCGAATGACCTTGGGCCCAGTCACTGCTTCTCAGCCTAACGTACCTCACAGGGTTGTTGTGGGGATTAAATGACAAGGGGGGAGACCCATGTATACCACCTTGAGCTCCTTGGAGGAATGTCCTTGTGATATTAACGCTAATCACAAAAAGCTTTCTAAAACCCAGAGAACCCACTTTTCATTTCTACCTTTCCCTGTCATGTTTTCAAAATGTGCCTCTGTAATCTCAGGGCCTGTAAAACAAAGATTAGTACAAAGATTCTCCCTGATAATGAAAGGTTGCGTCTTCTTCGGGATGGGCAAAGTTCATAAAAACTTCCTCAACAGACGTCAGCACTGACTTATAAAACCTGCCCAGGCAAATTGTCAGTCCAGGGAGCTAAGATAGCAACAGTGATTAGAACTTCTGTTTGCTGTTCCGTTTTTATACTACGGCATCCATCTTGGAGGTGATTGATTCATACAACTCTTGTTCTGTTTGGGTTTTTAAAGCGCCACACCGGCTGATAAATTCTAGCCTCAGACCTGAATGTGAACATAACACAAAATCTTCAGGTGTTGCCAATGACTTGCCCGCCCATGAGTTGATTCTAGCCTCCAGGAACATCAGGCGTATGTTTTGATCCTTTTAGACTCCTCAGGCCTCTAACACTGTCAAATTCTTCAAAAGCTGGTATCAATTACCCCTTAGCTCAGGGGTAGGCAACCTAAGGCCTGTGAGCCGGATGCGGCCCAATTGCCTTCTTAATCTGGCCCGCGGACGGTCCAGGAATCAGCGTGTTTTTACATAAGTAGAATGTGTCCTTTTATTTAAAATGCATCTCTGGGTTATTTGTGGGACTTAGGAATTCGTTCATTTTGCCCCCCACATGGTCTGAGGGACGGTGGACCGGCCCACGGCTGAAAAAGGTTGCTGACCCCTGCCTTAGCTGGATTAAAAGCCCCATCTCCAACCCTAAACCCCCATGACATGTATGCTGGTTTTTGGACAGTACGCATCTCAGTCCATAGTTAAGAGCATGATGCTCCGAAAGAAAAGCAACTACATTTTGATCCAGCCTGCTTAGGGAATGATGTTCCTGGGAGAGGTTCGATAACTCCAGCCTGGCTGGAGATGTCAGAGCGTTGGGACAATTTTATAGATCTCTCCTTTTGTGATAGCATCAGCATTCGTATCATCAACGAATTCTGTTTGCTCTCTAGTGTCCTCCCTGCCAAGTTAGTAGTTTTGCTAATTCTGTGGGCACAAATACTTTCATGCGTGTGTAACAACTGCTGGACCTTTTCCTTACCCACCTATAGAGGACACCCAAGATGGGGTTGGGAGCTGAGCTTGTTGCTTCTAGGCAGAAAGGGCTTTATTTTCCCCAGAACGTAACCGTGGCAAAGGATGTGGGGATAAAGACCAGACTTCTTAGCAATGGACTTGGAGGCGCAGAGATCTGAGCCTCTAACCAGAGTAGCCAGGGAGAGAGGCATTGCTTTCCACCAGAAAGAACACTTTAACTTGAATTTGCTGTGTCACCATTTGCTGTGTCACAAATGGATCTGAGAGTTCAAAGTGTTTTATAAAGAGGAAAGAGGACCAAGAAGGGGGTGGGGGACACACAGAGATTAGGACTGCAATGTCGTTGAGGCTACCATTAAGAAAACCTGCATCAAACTTGACTCGATCAGAGTGAATTCTTTCAAGAAAAAGGAAGCACAATAAATGGTAAATAATAGTTGGAACCTCTCTTCTTTTTTTGCTGCCTCTAGATTTCTCGATTTCCATTCAGCGGCATCCACCTGTTCCCCATCACGAGCCTCTCTGCTTACAGGCCGCCTTGGCCTTCGCAATGGAGTGACTCACAATTTTGCTGTCACCTCGGTGGCCGGCCTCCCGTTGAACGAGACAACCTTGGGAGATGTTCTGAAGGAAGCTGGCTACCTCACTGCTGCGATAGGTAATTTAACCAACCTCCAATAGAAAATTAACCTGGTTTTGTTTAAAGGGTTGTTTTTTTATACGTATCTGCATATCTGTGTATCTATATCTATATTTCTGCTAAATTATATTATAAATAGCACAACTGCATATTTCCCCATGCTTTTTGAGTGTTCAAAGCCCTTCCCACAAATCATCTCTGTACAAAAATCCTGTAAAGAGATTAGCAGAAGTACATCCATACTTGTACATCCATAATGTAGATGTGAGACTCAGGCAGAGAGAGAGAGAGATAGAGTTGTCCAAAGCTACCTCTGAAGTTCATGGCAGCGGTGAGATGTGAACCAGGGATTTCCTTGCTCACAGTCTGTTGGCCGCATCAATTCCACATTCGGCTGATACTAAACACCATTGGCGTAGTATCTTGCATTGTCAATAAAAGCAGCATTTCTGGTTACGTTGTTAGGGTTCACCATGGGCGAAATTGTGATCTTCAGAGGCTGTTCTTTGGGTTCCCCCACCTTTTGCCAGAAAGAGGGCCTTTTCTGCGGCGACATCCAACCTATGGAACTATCTAAAAATGTTTGCTTGTTAAAAATGTTTGCCTGGTAAATCTCTATTGCTTTTTGAGCATGTCAGCTGAAGCCCATCTTTTTTCTGTTTTAATGGGTATTTTAAAAGCCACATAGTGGGTTTTATTTAAAGTAGTGCAAAGTAGTTTCTTGTGTGGGTGGAACAGCTTCGACTTGCACAATGGGACTCCCCACGCCCTGAATCTGGGTCCCCCCCCCAATCCTTCAGAGCAGATTTTGGGGGTCAGCACACATGGGGGGAAAGACATGGGAAAGTCCTGTTGCCCATGTGCAAGACATTTGGCTCACACATTTATTTAGTTGAATACCACACAATGCTGTTTTTTCTGCTTTTAATCTTTGTGTTTTATTGCTGGTTTGAGGGTTGTTGTTTTTTTACTTCTATTACGTTGCATTTGCTTTGATGATTATGGTAAGCTGCGCTGAGGCCCTTTGCAAGAGAAGGTGAAATATAAAATCCACGAACAAATAATGGCATGTGAATTTCAGGCACCCCTTGCGTGAGACTGTGGGGGAGCACCTGGGATGCTGCTGCTATCATATTAATCATGCATCAATGGTGGAAGAGAAACATACATTTTGCTTTCCATTCTGCCGTGAAAGGCAGGCATAATAATCACAGATCTGGGTCATACACTGGCAACTGAATGTGCAGGAAATTCCCCTCTACTTCATGAATGATGGCTGGGAATTTCCTGACTAGGTCCTTGTGTCCTCTCCCTTGAGGGATGCTATCACTTGGCCAGAAAGAAATAACTTAACTTTTAAGAGCTCACTGTGTCCGCTAAGGATGGGTTGTTTTGCATCTTTTAAGATATTGGTGTTCATAGAAGCTGCTACCTGAAGGCTTCTCGAGTTTGATGGCCTAATCCCACTGGTCACCTCTTTGCACAGCCCTGTTCACCACACCTCAGATAGAAAGCATTAAGTACTCTCCCCAGTGACTGGTACATATGATTTGCTAATATTGCTCTTCGGCAATTGCTTCCTTGCAGGAAAATGGCACTTGGGACACAACGGCCCTTATCACCCCAACTTTCGTGGTAAGGATACCATGCTATATTCCCCACCCCCCACCCCATCTTGAAATCTGAACGTCCACTGCAGATTTAGGCCTGGTTCTTGCTCAAGACTTGAAACTTTAGATGTGAGCTCACATGCTCGGGTGTTTCTTTGTACCAGTGCATGTCCTCAGTGTCAAGCCCTCCTAAATTATTATTAAATTTCATCCAGCCCGGACACTGAGGTCCAGCGCCGAGGGCCTTCTGGTGGTTTCCTCGCTGCGAGAAGTGAGGTTACAGGGAACCAGGCAGAGGGCCTTCTCGGTAGTGGCGCCTGCCCTGTGGAATGCCCTCCCAGCAGATGTCAAGGCAATAAACAACTCTTTTACTTTTAAAAGACAACTGAAGGCGGCCCTGTTTAGGGAAGTTTTTAATGTCTGATGCTGTATTGTTTTTAATATTTGGTTGGAAGCCGCCCAGAGTGGCTGGGGAAACCCAGCCAGATGGGCGGGGTATAAATAATAAAGTATTATTATATAACGTGTCAAGATGAAAACTCTCTTCTTGAAATGCTAGTTTTCTATGGCTAGGGCGAGGTTTTGTATAGAGAAGCATTTGATTAGGTCAGCCCCTGCCCTTAAATCATGACTCAGATTTACTGCCTCAGTAAGAACAAACCCTTGGAGTCTAATCTCCCAATCACAGTGAAGACATCAAGACTAGGTTGCATGATCCCTTCCTGGAGCAAACTCCCTTCTCTGTACTGATGCTATCTGCAGTTAAGGCTTAATAGGCCCCTTCCTTCTTTTTAAATTCCTTTTTCTTTTCGCTCCAGAGCTTTCCCTGTGAAAACCTGCTCTTTAAAGCTCATTCGGAGCAAACGCCAGTCCATGGAAAACACGAATTGATGGTTGTTCCGATTCAGCTTTAAAGAGCGGATTTTTACGGGGGAAGTTCAGATATTTGCCTGCATGGGTTGAATTGTCAGCAGTGGAACTTGGGACAGCTGTTCTGCCTGGTAGCAACACTTCTTGTGTCTGCAGTTTTTGCAGGTGGACTTTATACAACCAACAGTATAAACCTTCTGTCCTCTCCCTTGAGGGATGCTATCACTTGGCCAGAAAGAAATAACTTAACTTTTAAGAGCTCACTGTGTCCGCTAAGGATGGGTTGTTTTGCATCTTTTAAGATATTGGTGTTCATAGAAGAAACAACCCAAAATTGTTTTCTGGGCGCAACAAGTGGGCTTGCATATTCTAATACTGTGGCTTTAATTCCAGGTTTTGATTACTACCTGGGGATACCCTATAGCCATGATATGGGCTGCACTGACACACCGGGCTATAACCTCCCTCCTTGCCCAGCTTGCCCCCGGCACTCTGCAGCAATGAGGTATGATTCCTGGTGTCCTTGCAGACAGGCTTCCAGAGCTCAGTAGGAGCCAGATTCTGCTGGAAAATTCACAACTGGGGCATGACAGAGAGAGCCATCCCCTCTTGTTTGTCCCCCATGTTAGGTAATCAGAGGTGCCTGCCAAAGGCTCTTGTAAATCTGCCTTTTGTGTATGGACAGGGTCATTTTGGCCAAATCATGTCATGAAATTCTACTCAGTATTGATCTGGAGCAGAACTCCAACGTATAGTTAGCAGAGTAAAAACTTATACACGTTGCAGGATTCTCAGAGGCAATTGTATTTCATCCAGCAGAGCTTTACTGCTGCTGAAGGCAAATGAGCATAATGGTCTCAAATCCAATGCATTCAGGATTGGCCCTGTCCATAAGAAATCCAGTTGCAGCAGACTTAACTTAAACGTACAATAACTTATAATACTAAACTTTAACACTAAGCACACAGAACACCACACCAAAACAAAGAGATAGAAAAAGAAAGCAAAAGCCAGGCTCCTTCTGGACTATTATTATAGACTCAAAACATATACAATACCTTGTTACGCAGATGCAATAGTTACAACGTATAGAGCGCAACAGGCTGAATGGTAATGTTTGAAACAAATTTCTTTACTGGTTACATCCTAACATGCGAATCAAGTCTAGGATGTACACCATATACGATCCTTAAGGTATATAACCTATTTAATTAAATCCAATGCAGATATATATTTTCCTTCTTAATACATTCTTGTGTTACACAGTCCTCAAATGATTAAGGAAAGGTCCCCGGAATGTCATGTTGTAACTATTACTATAGACAGCATGACCTTGACAGAAAGAGATAACAGAACCAGTTTAAAACCAGCTGTACTCAGCTTCTCTGAAGGAATAACCCAAACATCAGGAACCTAGTTGCTTGTTTCTTTCACACAGAGAAGCTTCCAGAACCTTCTTGAATTAATTAGAATAGGAAATATCTCTAGACATCAGATCTAAGTACTAAGAAATGCAAACTGACATGTAAGAACCCACATTGGAAGAATGAGTTTGCTGTCGGATATGTAAGCAGCTTTTCCCAAGCTGGTGACCGCCACATGTTTTGATAGTCTACAACTCCCATCAACCCTGTCCATTTGCCATGATGGGTGGGGCTGATGGGAGTTGTAGTCCAACGACATTTGCAGAGCACCATCTAAGGCAGCAACCTTCACCACATCATGTGACAGTGATTTTCATATATTAATTATTTGCTGAGTGAACAAGTACTTCTTTTTTCCTGCCCTGAATTTTCTGCCATTAAGCTTTGTTGAATGACCCTGAGTTCTAGTAGTATCTGTGGGTGGGTGGGTGGGAGGAGAATTCTCTTTATTTACTCTTCCCCCTCTGTTCATAATTTTATAAACCTCTGTTTCATAATAGATATCAATGAAAGAAAAACTAACTAGATTTTAAAAATAGATTCTCTTGTACCCTATCATTGCTTAACCACACCTTTCCAATAATAATAATAATAATAATAATAATAATAATAATCATAATAATCATCTTTCCCCACCCAGGAAACATCAGAAAGACTGTTATCCTGAAATAGCACTACCTCTTTTTGAAAACCTCACAATTGTCCAACAGCCCGTGGACCTAACCAGCCTGGCTGCCAAATACACAGAGAAGGCGATTCAGTTCATTCAGTATGCAAGGTGAGGACATCTCAGTAGTCAATTATCTTATTTGGATGTAACACTAAATTATGACTTAGCTGCATTACATGAATGGGCCTGCCTAACCCTAAGGCTTGCACACTTTCTTCTCCTCGTGCAGTACAGCAGTGAGGAGGAGATCGGGAACTTTTGCTAACTGCAGTTTTGCATTATGCCTCATTATGACTGGCTGAAACAAGCCTTCCAGCCACGGTTAATGCTGTCTAATTTCACTAACTTAACAACTCTGTGGTTTACCAAAAAATCATTAGCAGTAATGTCTGACATTTCAACAATTTCTAATTCATGAAATCTTAATTAATATATACAATGCGAAAATAATAATGACATGCGCAACTCAAAGCCAAACAGCCCAAATATTCTTGAAATATGTCCATGAGAACAACTTTCTATTTGTGTACTTGTGCTGGTGCAATCCCAACAGAGCTCTGACAACAAGGTACCCGGATTTCAGTCTCTGTTTTGTGAATCTTCTTCTGTTCTGCCCGAAAAGCAATTCAATGCTGCACTAAATAAACCAGCTCCAACCTTAGAATGACACATTGCTCTTTTTTTGAAAAGGCTGATCAGCCGACCTTAAGAAGTTGCATCTCTCCAGCCATGCACTGAAAAGGACACCTGTTGCTGGGGAAAATTCTCGTTGCTAAGCAGATGTTTTAGGCGTGCCTCAAGGATGTGCTTCAAGACTTGTTCCAAGTTTATGTTGGCAATACACCAACACAGGGCGCTACTGAAATTTGAGGTGCCATGGTCCACCACTGCTTTGGTAGTACAGCCAGGTTTGTTCTAAGTAATGTTGCTCAGAGTTGAACATCTCAACAGCTCAGCGTTGTCATCTTGTGCAGTGGTACCTCGGGTGACAGACACTTTAGGTTACAGACGCTTCAGCTTACAGACTCTGCTAACCCAGAAATAGTACCTCGGGTTAAGAACTTTACCTCAGGAGGAGAACAGAAATCGCGTGGCGGCAGTGGGAGGCCCCATTAGCTAAAGTGGTACCTCAGATTAAGAACAGTTTCAGGTTAAGAATGGACCTCCAGAACAAATTAAGTTCTTAACCCGAGGTACCACTGTACTATAAAAATCTCCTCTCCGAACGGAGACCTCCGAGTATAGGGCGGTATAGAAATTCAATAAATAATAGTAATAGATGGCTTTCTTTGTTCACAAGTTGACTGAGCAGCTGGAGACTTTTCAGGTGAGGTGTATTAAAACGAGGCAGCTAGAGGACATAAAAACATCATCCTGTTCTTCCCATGGCTGACCAGATGCCTCTGGAAAGCATGTAAGCGGAACCTGAATATAACAGGTTTCTCCTTATTTGTGATTCCCCAGCAACTGGTGTTCAGAAGGATACTACCTCTGAAACCATATAAAATGGCCATCATGGATAATAGTTATTGGCAGCCTTCTCCTTAAAAATCCCATTCTTAAGCCATCCAAACTGGTGACCCTCACTACGCCCTGTGGAAACAAATTCTATAGTTTAATTCTGCATTTTGTGAAAGAGGACATCCTTTTTGTCTGTCTTGAACATTCACCTTCATTAGATACAGCTTCCTTCTCTGATTTTAGAATGTTTTATCATTTTACTGTTGTTAGCCGCTCTGAGCCCCGCTTCGGCTGGGGAGGGCGGGATATAAATAAAATATTATTATTATTATTATTATTATTATTATTATTATTGACTTTCTCCACCCCTTGCATTATATATATATGTATATGTATATGTAAAATCATTTCCTTCTTCCTCTCTTGCTTATTTCTAAACCAAAAAGCCCCAAGTGTTGTGTAAAGAGAGTTCTACTTTTCTGATGGTTCTTCATCCCTACAGTATCCTTTTTGCGGCAAGGTGGCTCAAACTGTTCATAGCATTTTGAGTGCAGGTGCATTGTAGCGTAACAGGAAACAAAAGGCGTAGCAGGAAAGAAAAGCCTTCCTGCACCAAAGGGAAAGGATGATAATTGAAATGAAATGAGTCTCTGAATTAATCAGAGTCTGAAAATTGTGTGGGTGGGGGGCAGGGAGAATCCAATGGTTCTGTTGTGGTTCTGTGATTTTGTTGTATTATTTCAATAAAGTTATTTAGCTGTGTTTCTCAAGAAAAGAGAGCTTCAGCGTTTTGTTGGGGTTTTTTGTTGGTTTTTAAGGAAACCAGCACAGCTATTTTATTTATGACATTTCTATTCTTCCCCTCAGCCAAGTCCTGTGGGAAGTTCACTGACTTTTTTTAAAAAAACACACAACATTTTAAAAAACAATACCTAATACTTAAGGTGCCCAGAAACACACAGGAAGCTGTATCTATGTAGTAGTGTGCATGATACAATGGGGAACAACAAAATGGACCTGGATAATTTTATTAATCAAAGTAGCTTAGTAAACCGCAAATCCTCATGGGAAGAGAAAGTTAGAATGCTGGGATATAAGAAGAGCCTAAAAGTCTTTAGACGTCTTCTAAATTGCTTTGAGCCCTGGACACTCAAAAATTTCTTAGGTGAGCTTTGGGATTATCTGTGGGCTCTTCCAGATCTCTCTATTGGGCATTCATCATGATTTCACAAAGTTTGTGAAATTGATAATGCATTGTTATTTGTTTGCAAGGAGGTTATGTAATGTTGTGTTACTGTCCCACAGTTTCTAGTGCTTTTTCTGGATACTTTCCTTACTACAAAAAGACTGGTCCTGCCCCACTCCCCCACCAGCAGGTTGGTTGCACATGAGTGCCAAATCTACTTTAATTGTCAAACCTGAATTTGCCAGTAGATAATTGAATCCTGCCCGCAAAGCAGCAAAAGTCTAGAAGTGTTTGTTCCTCCTCGTTTACTGTTGTGTTTTGAAGTGGACAGGATCTTAATTTTGGGAACACTGTATCTTTCTATCTTTAGTTCCTGAATAATAATTTTACCTTAAAAGAGATTCAGCGGTCTGTGGAGTCTGGTTCCTGCTTACAGGAGGGTGATAATTAAGTTTTACTGAGAAGCACAAGGGTTTGCTTATTTTTTCCTGCAACAATTAGGATCAGGATGTTAATTATTCCTACCAGATCACATCTGAGATAGGAGCTTATATCAGGGTCACAGATAATTCATAATATTTTATATTAACCTTACGGCAGCCGCAGTGATGCCATCATCCATAGAAATAAGCCATGCAAGAAGTACAGATTAGCATCCAACATTACAGGATATGTTCCACAATTAATTACAGTATGATAATGTGAGATAAGTCAAGAACAATATAGGGTATATAAAACACTAATAGATGGGCTTTTTAAAGTTCATTGTTGACAAGAAGAATAAAACAAAGCCCTTGTATCCACTAAGTATGGCCAAGTATTACACAATGATCTATAAGTACTAGGGAAAGGGAAAGGACCCCTGGACGTTAAGTCAAGTCAAAGGCGACTATGGGGTTGCGGGGCTCATCTCACTTTCAGGCCAAGGGAGTCGACATTTGTCCACAGACAGTTTTCCGGGTCATGTGGCCAGCATGACTAAACCACTTCGGGCGCAATGGAACACTGTGACAGAAGCCAGAGCGCACAGAAACACTGTTTACCTTCCCACCACAGCGGTACCTATTTATCTACTCGCACTGGCATGCTTTCGAACTGCTAGGTTTGCAGGAGCTGGGACAGAGCAACGGGAGCTTACCCCATCACGGGGATTCGAACTGCCGACCTTCCCATCACCACCTGCGTCCCTCTGTAAGCACTAAGCCATAATTCACCAGTTGAACAATCAGCTGGGACAGTAAAGGAGGACTGATATAATTGCCTTACTGTGCATGTTAAATGCTGGCTTCTGCTTATTTTTTCACTATTCCTTTAATTCTGTGGAATTAAGCACCTCTTATTGACTTCCGTTAATTATCACTTTGGGCAAATAGCCCAGTCCTTATCTCTCAATAGTGTCTTGTACTGTGGTACCACTGGTTACGTACTTAATTCGTTCTGGAGGTCCGTTCTTAACCTGAAACTGTTCTTAACCTGAAGCACCACTTTAGCTAATGGGGCCTCCCACTGCTATGCGATTTCTGTTCTCATCCTGAAGCAAAGTTCTTAACCCGAGGTACTATTTCTGGGTTAGCGGAGTCTGTAACCTGAAGCATATGTAACCTGAAGCGTATGTAACCCGAGGTACCACTGTATATCACCTTCAGATGCAAGCATAGCTCACCCTCATTCTGATGTAATCCTTTATGATTTTGCGTTTGTCAAAAGAGTAGTGAGATCTCTTCCAGTTCCCTGGGTGTGCTATGTAAACAGAACCAATGAAGGCTGAACCAATGTTGGTGACATTGATCCTTCCTATATCCATGCCATCAAGATCAAATCAGCAGATTTTGCCACCGACTTTGCACTGTTACTTTGTAGAAACGAAGGTGTGTGATACTGGCGCAGGCAAATTATAAGGTTTAGCTGTAACCTTATGTAACTGAATCAGTTGCAAGTTTTATTTTGCAAGCTGTAAAGTATTCAGTGACTTCTGAAGCGGCAGTGATTGCTTTGATTTTGTCCTAAGCTTGATAAATGTTTAATTAGATTTAAAAAAAATGTGTACCTAGCGCACTCTGTTGTCTTCTTCAAATGTTCCTCCCCTCATTGTATGGAATCAGATATTTTGATTTTTGAAATGTGAAATTCTGGGCTGTGAATATACTTAAGACTCAGTTACCTGGGAACAAGACCCACTGAGTTCATTTTGGTTTACTTCTGAGTAGGCACACAGAGATTTCAAAGTAGCCTTGTAAAACTCTTACCTGCCTGGGGGGTTGTTGATGTGATTGACAAAGTTCTGCATCTGAATTGTCACAAGAAGCAAAAGTCAAGCCACACATAGAAACCTATGTTTGAACTGGATCTAACTTGTTTTTTTTAGTTTTTTTTTATCAAAACATTGTTACATGGTTTTGAGCACCGGGATAAATGTTTGTGACCTGAAGTGATATAGCTGATTTTACTGTTACTATTTCAG